AGTTTGATTAATTAGTATAGAAATCCCACTGTGGGGTTATTGTTAAGCAACTTTGAATCATGGAAGAGCTTGTAGGACATGAGCATCCTGTCACTACAGCATGTATCTGACAGTGAAAGCTTTTGATAATTATCTTCAGCCTTTGATAAACAGCCTGCAAGAAAAGAGACAGAGTCATAACTGAATCAGTAGTTAGAAAAGTAAATAGTCCCTGAATTCCTGTTACTACTTTTAAACTGTTGAACACTTGCCATAGTTCAGAACATCACACAGGTTGTCACTTCATCTCTGAAATATGGAAGTAAGATATTATTCCCAATTACCAGAGAGAAGACCAATGCTTTGCGCATTTAAGGGTCTTTGATGTTCTATGGTTAATCAGTGACAAAACTCTGATTATTCTTTCAGCTCTTCAACAAACATTTACAGATTTGTCTTTTATGTGCCAGCATTGAATCAATCATGTAACATTCTTGGATTTTACATTCTTTGTGCACTAGGACTACTGTGTTAGAGCCTATCCTGAGAGCAACTCAGCATTCCCCAGATGACTATCTATGGGGGGTTAGGTGGGAAATTAACAGCCACAACCATAGTAGTCACTGGTATTTATTGAACGCTTCCTAGGTACTAATACTTGTAGACTGTAATGACATCTGGGAAGAAAATAGGCATAATCTCTGCACCCACAGAACCTTCAAAAATGTTGGGATGTTAAATGTAAACAGGGCCAGGCAAGTAATGTAAAAGGTGAAAATGTTTATGCACTGTGTCTCTTCAAACACAAATCCTCATATTTTGTATATTAAACAATTTTACATATTCTTTACTTTTTCAAAGAAATATACTTTTTCTGTTTTTGAAAAAAAATTTATTTATTTGAAAGAGTTACAGGGAGAAGGAGGGGGGGGATCAGACGATCTTCCATCTACAAGTTCACTCCTCAGATGGCCACAACGGCCAAGGTTGCGGCAGACCAAAGCCAGCAGCTTCCTCTGGGTCTCCCATGTGAGTGGCAAGGACCCAAACACTTAGGACATCTTCCACTGCTTTTTCCAGACCATTAGCAGAGAGCTGGATCTGAAGTGGAACATCCGGGACTTGAACTGGTGCCTATATGGGATGCTGGTGTTGCAGGTAGTGGCTTTAAATGCTATGCCACAATGGTAGCTCCTTGTCTGTTTTTCTTAAAACAAGAGGTTCTGTTTGGTCTTTCTATTGGGAAAATTGCTAACAATATAGTTAAAAAGAATCTTAACCAGCTTCGACCTAGATACCTCTTCAGAAGCTTCCTGTATTTTTGTGGGTTGGTTGATTTTCCAATCCCTTATCCTCCTTGAACTTTCTATTCTTGTTTGTTTTACTAGCTTCTTTATGATGAAATTTTGCATTAATATTTTTTCTTCTTTATTTATTTATTAAAGAGTGCAAATTACATAACTACAACTTTAGGAATATAGTTATTCAAATTCCTACCATATCAACCCACACTCCCACCTCTTCTCCTCCCTCTCCCCTTGCCAGTCCCATTGTCCATTAAGATTCATTTTCAATTAACTTTGTACACAGAAGACCAGTTCTATACTAAGTAAAGATTTCAACAATTTACACACACACGCACACACACACATACACACACACACACAAAACCCTGAGAACTGGTTTTACAGTTTACTCTAAATACAACTCATTGAGGAGAAAGGTCCTGCCTGGGGACCTTTATTCTTACTCTTACTCTGGGGACCTCTTATCCCTACTCTTATTTTTTACTGATATCTATTTTCAATTGACTTTATATACACATGATTAACTCTGTTAAGTAAAGAGTCCAATGATTAGTATGAAGAAAACAAAACAAAACAAAACAAAAAAAAAAAAAACAAAGAAAACAAAACTGTTCCTCCATAGTCAAGACAAGGGCAAATCAAGTCATCCCTTCTCGAAATGTCAATTTCACTTCTACAGATTTCATTTTAGGTGCTCTATTAGTTCTTACAGATCAGGGAGAACATGTGGTATTTGCCCCTTTAGGACTGGCTTAGTTCGCTAGGTATGATGTTTCCAGATTCATCCATTTTGTTGCAAATGACTGGATTTCATTTTTTTTACTACTGTGTAGTATTCCATAGTTTACATATCCCATAATTTCTTTATCCAATCTTCAGTTGATGGGCATTTAGGTTGATTCTATGTCTTAGCTATTGTGAATTGAGCTGCGATAACTATGGTGGAGCAGATAGCATTTTGATTTACTGATTTCATTTCCCTTGGGTAAATTCCCAGGAGTGGGATGGATAGATCATATGTTCGGTCTATATTCAGATTTTTGAGGCATCACCATACTGTCTTCCATAGTGGTTTTACCAGTTTACGCTCCCACCAACAGTGGATTAGGGTACTTTTTCCCGCACATCCTCACCAGCATTTGTTTGTTGATTTCTGTATGAAAGTCATTCTAACGCGGGTGAAGTGAAATCTCAACATGGTTTTAATTTGCATTTCCCTGATGGCTAGTGATCCTGAGCATTTTTTTCATGTGTCTGTTGGCCAAATGGATTTCCTCTTTTGAAAAATATCTGTTTAAGTCCTTGGCCCATCTCTTAACTGATTTATTTGTTTTATTGTTGTGGAGTTACTTAATCTCTTTGTATATTCTGGTTATTAATCCTTTAACAGTTGCATAGTTTGCAAATAATTTCTCCCATTCTTTTGGTTGCCTCTTCACTTTTCTGTTTCTTTTGCCATTCTTTTGCCATGAAGTAATCCCATTTGTTCATTTTGGCTTTGACTGCCTATGCCTCTGGGGTCTTTTTGAAGAACTCTTTGCCTGTGCCAATGTCTTGCAGAGTTCTCTAATATTTTGATGGTGTTGGGTCATAGATTTAGATCTTTAACCCATGTTGAGTGGATTTCTGAGTAAGGTGTAAGGGAGGGGTCTTGCTTCATACTTCTGCATGTGAAAATTCAATTTTCTCAGCACAATCTGTTAAAGAGAATGCCCTTGCTCCAGGGATTGGTTTTAGCTCCTTGGTCAAATATAGGTTGGTTGTAGATGTTTGGATTGATTTCTGGTATTTCTATTCTGTTCCATTGGTTGGTCTGTCTATCTATCTATCTATCATCTATCTATCTATATCTATCTATTTGTTTTTGACAGGCAGAGTGGACAGTGAGAGAGACAGAGAGAAAGGTCTTCCTTTGCTGTTGATTCACCCTCCAATGGCCGCCGCGGCCAGCACGCTGCGGCCAGCGTACCGCGCTGATCTGATGGCAGGAGCCAGGTACTTATCCTGGTCTCCCATGGGGTGCAGGGCCCAAGCACTTGGGCCATCCTCCACTGCACTCCCTGGCCACAGCAGAGAGCTGGCCTGGAAGAGGGGCAACCGGGACAGAATCCGGCGCCCCGACTGGGACTAGAACCTGGTGTGCCGGCGCCGCAAGGCGGAGGATTAGCCTAGTGAGCCGCGGCGCCAACCGTCTATCTATTTTTATACCAGTACCAGGCTGTTTTGATTGTAACTGATTTGGAGTATGTATTGAAATCTGGTATTGTGATGCCTTCGACTTTGTTTTTGTTATATAAGATTGCTTTAGCTATTCAAGGTCTCCTATGCCTCCATATGAATTTTAGCACTGTTTTTTCTAGCTCTAAGAAGAATGTCTTTGGTATCTTGGTTGGTATCACATTGAATCTATAAATTGCTTTTGGTGGTATGGATATTTTGATGATATTGATTCTTCTAATCCCTGAACATGCAAGACTTTTCCATTTTTTGTATATTCTATTTCTTTGTATAATATTTTGTAATTCACATCATAGAGATCTTTGACATCCTTGGCCTGGTAAATCTTCTCTCTCTCTTTTTTTAATCAGAAGGGAAATTTATTCTGCTCAGCTAAGCTCCTCCCTTCAAAAGAGACCAGCACCTGAGCGCTAGCCCCTGTGGTCTAACATTCATCTGCTCTGTCCCAAGGACCACACAAAGGATTTGTAAAGTCCTCAGTGTAAGTTCAGATTCCCCAGTAATGTCTCTCACCAGGTAACCAGGAAACCCTGAACATGTGGAGTCTCCCACCATGAATGCCCAGAGTCCCAGCCACACTATGAGTCCTCCCACGCACCCTCATTTTTTTCAGAGTCCTGGTACAGAAGTCTCACACAGTCACAAGCTCCTAGCCCCATTATTTCTCCTCACCAGAGCCTGGAGTCTCCACTTGGCACAGACACAAGCTGGCACAGCTATTATGTATGTCCAAAAAGGTGCCCACTCTATTGGCTTGTTACAGGACACTGTGGTAAAGTGATCAGGGAGAGAGAAATGTGTCCGTCCCATCCTTTTTTTTTTTTTTTTTTTTTCCTCCTCTGGTTTGGTACACACTCCCCAAAAGGGCTCCAAGCCTGGTTCCCTCTAGGCTCTTCCTGCAGCTTTTTCACCACTGGCTTGGGTTGCTGCAGTCTGGTCTCACCTCGCTTTCCAATGCTGGTGCATAGGCTCTTGGTTGCTGGAGTCCTGAGTTGTGGGCATCCACGCCCTCCCTATAGGTCCGCTGTGTCCCTCTAATTTTGGTAGAGTTTCCTCTACCATTTTTTCCCTAACTCTTCTCTGAGACTACACTCTCTCCACTTTTTTTAAAAAAGAGTTTATTTTATTTATTTGAAAGACAGAGTTACAGAGAGAGGTAGAGACACAGAGAAAGGTCTTCCATCCACTGGTTCACTCCCCAGATGTTTGCAACAGCCGGAACTGCGCTGATCCGAAGCCAGGAGCCAGGAGTTTCTTCCAGGTCTCCCACATGGGTACAGGGGCCCAAGGACTTGGGCCATCTTCTACTGCTTTCCCAGACCAAGCAGAGAGCTGGATTGGAAGAGGAGCAGCTGGGACTAGAACTGGCACCCATATGGGATACTGGCACTTCAGGCCAGGGGGCTAACCTGCTGTGCCATAGCACTGGCCCTCTCTCCACTTTTTTTAAACTATCTTCTCCTGAGCTAGAGCAATAAGCTCCCTCCCTACTCCTCCACCTTGGAACCGCGTCTTCCTTGTATTCTATGATGAAATTTTAATTTAATTCTCAAGACACTTCATCAAAGCTTCCTGTCCTAACTATGGCATGGAATCTTGTAGACAAGTGATTCTCAATCCCTCAGTCCACACCTAGGTGTCTGGAGATCCTTTCCCAGTACTCAGGCCCCAGTTTGTCTAAACTGGGAGAGCATGATAAACAGACTTGCTATGTCACCATGACTGCTGAGCCAGATGATGTCTGGTTGGCCCTCTTAGCTTGCCTGCTGTGGCTTTGGACAGGAAGAATGGTTAACCCCTCCTGGCAAATGGTTTCATAACTTTTGAATCCAAGGCATCTCATAACATGGAATTAATGTCCACAAGGCCTTGGAGCATTGGACCAGGTACAAGAGATCTCTGCAACTGTTGGGCGATTGACCATGGGTTGGTCTTGCTTAACGTCTTGGACATCATGTGTAAACCAAACTAGACAATCTCTTAGGTCTCTTCATATACAAGATGAGGGAAGTAATTGACTCATGGGATTGCTATGAGGGTAAAATAAGATGGTATAGAAATAGTGCTTAGAACAATATGTTGCACATAGTAATCTTTCATCAATGTTAGCTATTATTCTCTGCTCTCGGTTTTTGTGATTATTTGTTCTCAATTTACCACCCTCTCCAAAAGTTATTGTGTGGTGAGTTGACCAGCTAGGTCAGCTCTGCTCCTCCTTTTAACCTGGAGCTTGCACCATTTGTCAACAACAGCAGTTCTATTTAAAAGATGAAGGAGCCACATACGGAGTGGATAGGCCCCTGGATTTGTGTCATTTGTGCCACAAAGATTTAATAATCTCAGGCAAATGCCTTTGACAGATGTATATCAATGACAGGTTTCCAATGAGCACTGCCCTAAATTAATCCATCACACCAGGCAATGTGGTCTAAATTTAATGGTGCTGCTACAGATAGAAAATGTTTGTTTGAACATTCTTGCGTCATCTCGGTTTAAATCAAGTCTATTAAAACTCTGTGTTCCTCTGTTTTTCAATCAAATATACCTAAATGGTTACAGTAATATGCAGGGCATCTTTCTGTTATGAGTCTATGTCTCTTTAATGTCAGTAGGTTAATCATTTTCAGACAGCGTTTGTGCTTTTTTCTGTCTGACTTCGATACCACTTACTGCTGATTCTGGGGATGCCAAGGGAGACTTATGAAGTTGACATAAAAAAGTGGGAACAAAGATCAGGAGGTCACTGTTCAGTTTGAAAAACAGTGTTGCTCCATGTTGTTGACCAATTGGTCACCAATAAAAGGAGTGGTGTCAGGGAGAAACATTCTCATGCCAGCTATTTATCTGACGTAGGGGAGTTCCAGGAATACTGCAGCAAGCAGAGGGGGCAGATTGGTGGTGGAAGGTTGTTGACCCAGGAACTCCATTGTCTCATGGATCCAGAGGAAGCACAGCCAACTGAAATCTATTACCTCCATTCTCTCCAGAAGAGCCCCAGTGCTTACAACGCCACATGTGGGCTGCTGGCATCTCTTCAGAGATACTGACAGGCAGTGGCAAGACTGGGAAAAGTAAGCTCAAGTACCCTTACAATTTGAAGTGACAGCCCTTGTTGGGGAAGGGCAGAGAGATTTGGTCACATGCTTTGTGGTGTTGCAGTATTTTTCTGTGATTCAAATGAGGATGTAAGAAATTGGAGGTCAGTCTTCTGTGCAATGGCTGATGCACCTGCCACACTCCTAGAAGCATTTCTGTGAGCTTCCAGGGACGACTAAGACAGCTGCAGAATGGAAGCTTCCTCAGAGAAGCCACTTGTGGCCTGAGAGCCCTGAGCCCACACCCCTGCCTCTCTCCTGCTTCCCCTCACTCTCTTGTCTTCTCTCTTCTCCACGTCTCCTCAAGTGGCCCATGCTGAACTGAAAAGGGAAAATGTTTTGCTGCAGCAACAGTGTAGGCACCTGGATCAATCGTGAGGGTCCAGCCAAGCCTTACACATGGGTTCTGTTGCTGCACATCAAGGCCATTGTTCTGCCACCAGTGAGAACAAGAGTTTCCACCTGTTTTCCCAGGTAAGAACCCAAGGAATGCAGGAGTAAGGTGTGGTGGAAGGGGTGCCCTCCCAGGGGTCTGGAGATGAGCCTTGGTATACCAGTGTTGCTGCAGCTCTCCGTGCCACTTTCAGCCCATGATGACTTGGGTAGTAAACTCAGAGAGGGCCCTCATAAATAATGCAGCACTGTGCTTTCAAGACACATAAAAGACCACAGCAGGGATATGGGCTAGCTCTGTTGCTGATGGCTTTGTACTCAAGAGCAAATAGAAATTCTGAATGTTTCTGCAGGTAAATATCCTGAATGACAAATTCTTTTAGTTTTTGCTGACTATGACCCCAGCCAGGAGGCAGCGCAAACATCAGAACGTCCCTGATCCCTTTGTCCTTATTGCAAAGCACACAACCTGACACATCCCTGTCCTTCAGATTTCTTGCTAATTAAAAATTCACTTAGGATCCACATCCATTAATTTGCTGCTACAGAACCAGCTCTGCCGAAGAGATAAGTGTTCCAGATGCTGAGGCACTGCAAGATTGTTGTTTGAAAAGTTTATTGGGTAATGAAATTAAAAAGCATCTCAAATGCCAGATGTACAATGTAATGTTTTTTCTAATTGTCACTGTTAACTTCCATTGAGATTGTGGCTGCAGTGTTCCCGGGAATACAGAGGAAGAAACAGATCTGGAAGGCACTGTGGGTTTGCCTCTGACGCTACTGCTTGATTGATAAGGCTAAACTGGAGTCTAAAGATGAGCATTTTTAATTTCTTTTGGATTGGGTATTTGGCACAATGATTAAGATGCTGTTTGAGATACCCACAGCCCATAAGGAATTGCCTGGGTTCAAGCTTCCATTCCACTCTCCATTCCAGCTTTCTGCTAATGTGAACCCTGGTTGGTAGCTGGTAAAGGATCAAGTACTTGGGTGCGTGCTACTCATTTAGGACACTTTGACTGAGTTCTGGGCTCCTGGCTTTGGCCTCAACAGTCCTGGCTGTTGCATGCATTTCAGAAGTGAAATCAGCAAGGGAAGCTCTATCTCTGTCAGTCTGCCTTTCAAATAAATAAAAGTTAAAAAAAAAAAACTCTTTAACCATTAAACTTTAAGGAATGAAACAAGCTAGTACATCCATACAACAGGATTATAAACCAAAGAGCATTAGATGAAAATGTGTATAAAAGTCAACAAAAAGCAGTTTGGTTTTCTGAAAAAGGAAAAATAAGGTTTTTGGTACTGACAATGGCATAGATAATAGACATAAACTTATATATGTCCCTTTTTAAGTACAGAAATATATGAGAATACTTCAAAAGGTTTATGGAAAATGAAATTAATTAAAAGAGAAGTTTAAGTTGGTGCAAAAATTGAGAAATTCATGCATAAATGGTTTTTAGAAAGCTCATGGAAAATACATATTATGAAGAAAACTATGCACAGATTTTATTTTTTTTGCACTAAACTTATCTTTGTATCCATCTGCCATGAACTTTTTAAAGTACGCTCATGTAACACATTAAAAAATGTTATTTTCTAATGTAACTATTCCTTTTTTATATTTCTTTTTTTAAACTTTTATTTAGTAAATATAAATTTCCAAAGTACAGTTTATGGATTACAATGCCCCCCCCCCCATAACTTCCCTCCCACCCGCAACCCTCCCAACTCCCGCTCCCTTTCCCATCCCATTCACAATGTAACTATTCCTTTAAATCTTCTCTTGGATTTCCTGGGTATATTATAAGAACTCTCTGGAAAAAGACTGCAGAGATCTGATGTAGAAACAACAGTTGTGAGGCAGGCAGGAGCGGGGACATCATTCCTACTTGCAGAAATTGATTTGCTTGGGGTAACACAGCTAGCACACGGTCTCCGGACTTCAAATTCTGTTCCTTGTTTTTTAGGATGTCCCAGCTCTTAGTTGTCCCCTTTACATTTTATTTTCAAGTTTCCTTTTAGTTAAAAAGAATGAACAGTTTGCTCCCAGGGTGTTGCCACTGCCCTTTGCAGCCTTGATTCCCATGTGTCAGGGACTAAATGCTCTTTGGTGAGGTGCTACTCAAGTTTCAGTTCAAAGAGAAGCATGTCCTTCTCCAAGGCATTATTATTGGAATAATTTGGTAAAAACAGGACTAGACTGGTAATCAGAAGAGCAGGGTGCTTATTTAGATTCCAGAGTCAGGTACCCACCCTAAAATCTTGAGCAAGTTGTTTCTGACTCTCTGAGTCTGTGTCCCTGTTTATAAAATTGAGGCAATAAATTAGATGAGTTCTAAATTAAAATTTGAGAGAAAATATTTAAAATATATTGAAAAATAATTATAACACATGAGATAGATAAAATCAATAAACCGAGAGCAAGAAATTGAGTAAAAATGAATATAGATTAAAATACATAAAATTATAAATAAGATGAAAAACAAGTAACATACAAAGTGCAGAAATTCAAATATAAAAATTCAAATGAGAAAAATAATTGAAAGTCACAAAAGAGAAATCATTACAGCTACTAAATAAAAGGGAAAGGCAAAATTAAAAACCAGAGCTAAAAAGGGAATAGCTAAGTCAGAAGAAATTAACAGTTGTATATAAAAACAGATAAGAATTTTTAAAAAGTAGTAATGAGGCCAGCACTGTGGCGCAGTAGGTTAATCTTCCGCCTGTGGGGCCGGCATCAAATATGGGCACCAGTTCTAGTCCCGGCTGTTCCTCTTCCAGTCCAGCTCTCTGCTATAGCCTGGGAAAGCAGTGGAAGAAGGCCCAAGTCCTTCCTGTACCCATGTGGGAGACGGCAAGAAGCACCTGGTTGCTGGCTTAAGATTGGCGCAGCTCCAGCCATTGTGGCCATTTGGGGGAGTGAACCAGCAGATGGAAGACCTTTCTCTCTGTCTCTCCCTCTCACTGTCTGTAACTTTACCTCTCAAATTAATAAATAATCTTTTTTTTTTTAAAAAAAGGTAGTAATAATATCCTATCAACCTAAAACTAAGAGGTAATAAAAAAGGAAGGTAAAAATAAATGTAGCTCTGAAAAGCAGATATCAGGAAGAGGGTAAGCATGAAAAAAGAAAAACTTAATAGCGATATAGGTAAGAATAATAAAATTGTAAATATATAAAAATAAGGCAAAAATCATAGCAAAAATTTACTTCTAAAGGATTTTTTTAAAAAAGATGCTAAATTAACTCCTAGAAATCAAGACAAAAATAACCTGCTTATAAGAGCAGATAGGTGTAATGTGTCCTTAGCCAGGCCTTTTGTTTTTATTTGAGAGAGACAGACAGACACTGAGACTCCCAATCACTGGTTTACTTTTCAAATGCCCACAGTGGTCAAAGTGGTTGGTAATGCTGAAGCCAGGTGCTGGAAACTCAACCCAGATGTCTTATGTGGCTGGCAGCAAACCAATTATTTGAGCCATCACTGCTGCCTCCCCGGGTCCACACTGGCATGAAGCTGGAGTCAGGAGCCAGAGCAGGGTGTTGAATCCAGGTACTCACAAGTGCTAGGCCAAACGCTCACTCTACGTGATGTTCTTAGGGCCAGGAAAGTTTAGGCTGATGGGATCACAGGACAGTTTTAGGATGCAAAGCTGGGGTTTAGTGAGGAAATTTGGGAGCTTAATTCTACAGGAAGTAACTAAAAGAATGTCTAGAACATTGACATGAAATGATTCAACCACAGGGCAGGGTGTTGCTCCCACCAGCATCACATGGAAATCACAGTCTTTCCTGAATGCATGGCATTCATTCACCAATGTTGCTTGCTGGGGCCATGCAACTGGCTGGACAAGGATTTCAGAACCCTTAAGGTGTACCAGAAGGATAGGTATAGGGCCTAAGAGGGTATGCTGTACACTTGTGGTCAAATGATCCCCACCATCAGCACTTGCTCTGCTTATACTCAGCTCTATCTGCGCACATGTGCTCTTCCACCCCACTGGGCCTTTCCTTAAGCTTCTCCGTCTGGCTAGAAACCCTTTTCTTCCTTTCCCACAGTCCGGAAAAGGGCACCTGCTCATGGAGACCCTGCAGAACCCTTCTAGGCAAAGGTCGTCTTCTCTTTGGTCCCATAGCAGTTCCTGCATTCGTCTATCAAATGGTAGACTACTTTCTCATCACTGTCTCTGTGCATGGATCAGAAGCACAGTAGCCAGGACTCAAACCAGGCACCTGATACAGGAAACAGGCATTCCAAGTAGCAACCTCTGGCTTCTGCCTTCCTCTGGTACTCTGCAGCTTGAGGACACTGAAGCTCCTGAAGTGCGGGGATCCCTTCTGCACCAGCTCAGGGCCCCTATAGAAAAGGCAGCTGCGGAATGGCTGCTTCATTTCCTATCACATGCATTGTACGTGCTGGCTTTGCTTTAATGACTCATCAAACGTCAGCTCACAGTGGACTCAAGTACTTTAAAAAATAATACAGCATATGAACAGGTAAAAGAAAACACTATGACGATGCTAGAATCTCTGAGAGTTGAAGGTGATAAGGGCAGCTTTGTGAAAATTAGCTGAGCCCATGACTATTAATGTTATTACACACATTAAACACTCTCCCATAAAATACAGTCATGACCTGTTTGGGACTTCTTGGGGGCTTCTACTGTTCACAGTAATATTTCAAACTGTGAACTTGAAACCTCAACCGGCATGGGGTGTGGAATTAAAACAAGGGGTCCAACAACCCATGTTTATCTCAGGCATTGTTTGTAGACCAAATAAATGATTTGTGTATAAACATTGTTTTATAAGTGGATGTGGCTTATTAAATGCAGCTTCATTTAAATGTCACTGAACTTTTTGTTGCTTTTCAGTTTGTGAGGTAGATATGATGGGAACGCAGCATATTTTAAGATTGAGAACCCAGGCTTTTGACTGCTTTGTTTCCAATATTAGTTGATGTTACCGCCTTTTCTTTCGCCTTTATATTCTGTTTGATCAATTTTTGAGATAGGTAGATTTCTTTTTTAAAACTTTTATTTTCATTTTTTATTTAAAAACAGAGAGGGATTGTTCACCC